ACCTCGAAACGCGTAAAAACCTCTTTTGGGGCAGAGTAAGAATGAGAAGGGAAATTGAGTGGTGTTTTAGGGTTGGCTTGTGCATAGGTGGGTGGGGAGTAAAACATAGATTCCTTTCCCCTACGAGGGAAAGTGTGAGGGGCTCCAGGAGTTACTTGTAGCGTGGGGTTGTAAGGTTCTGGAGTAAGTTGTAAGAGTGGATCTGTGTTGTTAACTTGACCCGTTGGTGATTGTGTCATGACTGGCTGCAAATTCTGTGGAAGGAGATGCGTGCCAACTAGGGTAGTGGCGTCGAGCGCTATCTGATTAGGCGGTGTCAATTTTGCCTGGTCTGCAGTTGGCGTAGTTGGAACCCTTTTGTCAAGAGCGTGGAGGGCTTCCTCGAACTTTTCCATTGGGGTCATCAGTTGATGGTTGATGCTCTGCATTGTTTCTAAGATGGCATTTGTGCTAGATTTGTGCCTCGACCTTGAAGAGCGAGATCTGGCACTGGTGGTTCTGGCGCTGGTGGCTCCAACAGTGGATACCTCAACCTGTGCCAGTGGGGGATGGGTTTCTTCTGGATTCATCTTCTTGCTAGGATATCCCCAGCGGAGTCGCCAAATGTAGATACCTGTTTCTACAGTATAGTTAAATAGTCAAGGGGTCTGGGATATATCACTTAAAACAATGTGAAAGCAAACGAATTGAGGAAGGGGGAGAAAACTAGCCCAAAGCGAGGACTGGAATGATGGTAGGAGAGATGGCGCCTGGAATGTATGGTCCGAACAGTCTGCCAGTAATCTTTTTCATTCCTTCCTTTTATAGTCTTAGGTCATTTAAGAGGCACTTATTGGGCCTCCTTCTAGATAGGGTAGGGCCCATGTACTTTTAAAGATCATGTTGCCCTAATCCCTATCCTTTAGGACCCATTTAACAAGTGTAATGCTCATCCTTAAATGACCCAGGTAGGATTATGCGTAACAGTAGCAATACTTACTCCAGCTATCTCTCACTCTGGTCCTTGAATTGGGTCTTGTCTTTGCAAGACTTGACTAGTTTTCTTTCCTCCGTTCCAAAGACCCCTCTGTATTCCCCTGATAACGAAAAAGTCCTACCATTTACTCTTCGTTCTGGTTGGGTCGGATCGAGGTTCTACGCCTGTCGATCAACGATTCGTGATTGGGTCGGATCGAGGTTCAAACAAAACCGGCGGAGCTTTAAAGTGCCAGAGTATACAGTTAAAATGACAGTTTACTTAGCATACATTGGCGGAGCTTCAAAAAGTCTACATTACCGGAGCTTCAAAGTGCCGGAGTATACAGTTAAAATGACAGTTTACTTAGCATACACTGGCGGACAAAACCACCGCTATTTAATCTATCACCGGCGGTTGTATGGATCCGCCGGTACATATTTCAAACCCAGCGGTTAATTAAAAACCGCCGGTGAAACCTAGCGGCGGTGGATATACTGGCGGTTTGGTAAAATTGCTGGTAAAGGAATTACCAACGTTTTTGGTACCTTACAGCGGCGGTCTAAACCACTGCTAAAAACCTTATTTGTTGTAGTGTTCTAGGCCCGTCGATCGAAGATTTGTGATTTGGTCGGATCGAGATTCTAGGCCCGTCAATCGACGATTCTTGGTTGGATCGGATTGAGGTTCTAGGTCCGTCGATCGACGATTCGTGGTTAGGTCGGATCGAGGTTCTAAGCTCATCGATCGACGATTCGTGGTTTGGTCGGATCGAAGTTTTAGGCCTATCGATCGACGGTTCGTGGTTAGATGGTTGTACTCATCGACCCAATCTTATTTTTTTTTATCTTAATTGTCATTTTATCTTTTCCGATTGGGGTAAAGATGTCGTGGGGGCCACTTAGATTTGACTAGCTGACGTGGCTTTACCACATCCACAGCATCCAAACACTGATCTCCGGAATTCAACTCAAAAAGGGAACATTCAAATGTAGCACTTTTTATTCCGGAAAATCCAAGAGTTATTGTTTCAGTACCTGCAACCATGTACTTAACATTATGATAGAATACTGTTGTGCTTAATGTATATGAAAAATTACATATAGATACATATTAATCCACCCAAAGAAATATATACAGAATGTGAAAGATTATTTGCTAGTAGTATAAAATATTACATGAAATAAAAAAATACATATATAAATAAATGAACCAGCAACCATTATTTATCTTCATCTAATATTATCTTGAAAACTGAATTGAGAAATTGAAAAAGAAAAAGAAAGAAAATTAAGAAAAATTGCCATCGATCTCAACTGGTATTATAAGCTAAACCATTGATTTAATTCTTAACACCTTGTTAAGTAAATGGAGGGTCAATGCCTCAAATTACACACATTTCAAAGTTGTTAATTTTTTTTATTTTATCTTTATGTGAAATAAAGTAATACACAAGATATACTTTATTTGTTACCTTGTTGCTTCATTTTCCTTGTCATTGAAGGTCATATTCACATCACTGCGTGTCATTGAAGGTCATTTTCCTTGTATATAATTCGTTACATGAAAATATACATGTATATACACACACAAATGAACTGTGTGCATGTGTATATATACATGCAAAACTGATGCATGCATCCTACTCCAAATCATTTCTACTAACATTTGATGCATCCATGGTAGTATGGTACTATAAGAGAGGTAAACATTTAGGAACTTACTTCTTGCCATTGCCAAGAAAATATGTAAATAAAATTTAGATGACTAGTAAAAATAAAAAAATAAAAAAAAACACTTAAAATGGCAATTAAGCAAGAATTATACAAATTGATATTTAGTAGGTGATTTACCTCTATCTTTGTAAAAGTAAACACTCTCTTCCAATCTTCCCTTGTTCTTTCCCTCTTCTTCACTGCTAGATTCACTTTTGGCAAGCTTTAAGTCCATATTATTTTGATGCCAAGACCGCCTTCTTTGCAAAGCCTCTTCCACCACCTCCTTCCCCTCCTCCTTCCATTGTTCCCTTACTTCCATATCTCCGAAGCACGTAAATCTTACCTTCTTCTAAGAGAGCAGCAATGCTTCTGTAGCTCATCTTTGGCACTCATACACTTCTTATATAACCACATTTTGGTCAATGCATGATTAATATGAACAAACATAATTATATATATATATATATGTATGTATATGTATATATATATATATATATATATATATATATATATACATACATATTTCTATGTGAAGAATGAGATGTATGAATGGCAAGCTGCGATTAGCTGTTCATGTTTACACAAACAAAACATGATGCTTGCATGGGATTTTTTAAAAACCATCTTATTAGCACAGAAAATCGCGGTTGTCCATGTGTGTTTTACACACTGATTACATGTGTCCTGTGTGTGAAATGATTAACAATTTATACTAATTAACAAGCATTGACTTCATTTTCTGCTTCGTACTTCTAATCTTTTCATATCATACATGTCTCTCATGATTTCGAAAAGAATACAAAATTGATCATGATATATACTTTATGGTTTACCTAATAGTGTGTACATAATATTGAAATGATATATCATCATTAAGTTAGACATTCACATTTCCTTGCAACAATTTTCCTTAGATAATGAACTTGTCTGGGCCTTGATATGATTGATTACTCAATAAATGCTTGTTAATTATCATTTCTTTGCTACTTAATAGAAGTTTAAAATTTATTTATTTTTGGTTGATGTCCCAAATGAATAGAAAGATGATCTTAAAATAAAAATAAAAAAATCCGATTGTTATGGAAGTTTAATGATTACGTTTTTGGAGAGTTTTATTTCCTTGGACACTTGAGTTTTATTCTCCTTCTATTTCCATCCACTTTGAAATGATAGCAAAATAATTGCTTCAGTAAACCCTACCAAATTAATCCATTTCCTTTCATTTTCTATCCTTCCATTTCTCTTCTTTTCTTCTTCTTCCATTTCTCTCCTACCAACTGGGCCTAAAAGTAGTCCTCACTTAAACTAATAAATTAAGCTAATCTCTAAAAATAAACCTTGAGCAAACAAATTTTTGAAAAATCAATCTTTGTAGTTCCCAACTCCAATAACAATGGGACAACTGGCTGCTTTTCGGTCCCTAATTAGGTTAATGTAGTTCAAGTTTTATTTAGGTTAGATTTATTATTTAGGTATGCATTAGAGGTGGAAATTCGTGTTCACAGGTCATGTTCCTGTTAACACAATTACGATACGAACATGATTAGAGTCGACACGATTACTAATTGGGTCAAGACCCTTGATACGAATACGACATAATTATTACACGTGTAACACGACATGACACCATAACCCATTTGATAAATGAGTCAAAACTTGATAGGACATGAAATGACACGTTTAAATCATTTATGACATAAATTCGTCATATTTATTATGCATATTTAGCTAAATAGGTCATTTTTTACACGAATACGACTCGTTTACATGACACGTTTAGTTAATCGAATTAATAGTGTCAAAATAATTTTAATAGGGTCAAACACAACCACAATTAGTCCAAGTTTTAGTCCAAACCCTCTTATCTCGTGCCGTGTAGTGTCAAATATGCCAACTATCAAAACTCATACATCACTAGTAGGTTTAAATAGTCTGTCTAACTTCACTTACCTATCAAAAATTGGAAAAAAGTAAAAATAAAAAATAAAAATAAAAATTATATTCTTTGCAAACTACTCATATGAACCTTTGTGGGCCCCACCAATTATGGATGGTGAGCCCACAACGGTATTGTGAGTAGTCGGTGTCGACTAATAGCACCTGCTCACCACCGATGACCATAAAATTCTCCATAGGGGCACACAGTCACCCAGTCACCGTGTGAGAGTTTCTAGGACCATGGCAAATTAAGCTTCGGTACCAGCTTGGATGAGTTCTCCTCTCTCAGTGGACCTGTATGTAGACAACATAAAAGTTCTCTTGTAGCAGTAAAAAGTTCAAATTGAAAATAGACCGCAACATCGAAACTTTAAACTTTAGAAGCGATGGAGAAAAGAAAGGGACAGATCCATATAAGCTAATTACATTTTCAACCCGAAAAGTATGGTTCATACTATAAAATTGAAGCTGCCAAATAAATGCAACTTGGAAGAGATTAGAACAGTTGACAAGCTAAACCAGTCACTCTGACTCGAAACCAAATCGGTATCGAGCATAGCATATAGTACGAAAATCTTCCTTCTATGTCCAAAAAATCTAAATCTCTAATCACCATTACCGTTAACTAAGCTTACCGTTCTTGAGGTGCGTACACATTCAAACAAAACAACACCACAAATTTCAGACTCCTAAGAACCAAAACCTACAGTGACCAAAACGGTTGGTTCCAGACCAAGACTCAACGGTGCCATTAATTAAGCATTGCAGGTTTTAAACTCTCCCTCCCGCCCTCTCTCTCTCTCTCAAGAACAGAAATTATCAGCTCCGATAAGATCAAATTTTGAAAGGCATTCCGAAACCATTGTTCCATTCCCCTCATAATCCAGCAAAGCATTTTGTATTAGAACTACATGTTGGAGGCCATGAAGGGCCAAGTCCTGTTAGAAAAGTAAAACATTATATTAGAACCTAAAAATTAAATACGAAAGATGATATGGAAATAATTTATGTGATTCTTAAAGCAGCAATAAACCGACCTGCATATTTAGAAGCAAATAATTGTCGGCTTCTTATAGAACTAATAAAAGATATGTGCACAACATAAAGCTCTACAGAAGCAGAAGATTAAATGTCTCCAGATTTTATCACAAATAGTTTTGCCAAAGATGCACATCAATAGGTCCAGTGAAATGCCGTAGCTCATGGAAACAATCAGCTAGTTATATATATTTTTCTACCAATAAAATTTCAAAACCAAACATATTCCACCTAATACATGTGATCAACACGTGGACAATCTAATAGCAACTTCTACGGGAGGTCATTGCCTAAACATGTAATGCATAATTAAATTTTTTGTTTCCATCTAATATTCATGATCAGCATATGGAAATCTAACAATAAGTTTTGAAGATGGTCATTGTCTATACATATGACCAATCAAGTTCATGTGAAAAACTAATACACTAATACGTAATACGTAATATATATATTCCTCAAAGATGCAATTACAATTTTAAAAATGAACTTAAAGGCAGTAATGCTTTAAAACCAAAATTTCTTATATCAGATATTCAAATACATATTTTCCTTTCTTTTCTTCTTTTTCTTTTTGGAAAATAAAGTAGAGACGTTGGTTTTATTTAATTTTTTTTTTTTTTGGGAAGTACGTTGGAGTGAGATTTATAAATACATATTTCTTCACTAATAAGTTTATACTCAACTACATTCACATTATAAAGAACAACACACTTGTATCCATTTGACAGTATTTGTATACATATTCTATGCATTACTTTCATTATTTCACAGTTTTAAAAAGAATAATTTTATGATAAATTCGCATGAATATTAATGCCCATCATCATATACACTTTCATTCTCACATAATCATAACATCTTCTTGCTCATATGATATCAAGGAACATAAGATTAACTGGAGTTCGTACTACATTTGGAGAAACTAGTGAATTCTCTATAAAAATAAGATTACACTAAGGATCAGTGTTAAGTCCATACTTCTTCACGTAAGTGCTAAATGAAATAGTGAATAATATCTCACAAAAACATTACATAGTGTGTGTTCTTCACTAGTGACATAGTTTCATTAGATACTTCTAAGGAAGCCTTGGGAACAAAATTAGAAACATCGAGAAATACTTTAGAAGCAAATTGCCTAAAAGATTTGTAAAACAAAACAAGGTATATGGAATTTAAACTTGATAAAGTAGCAGAAAATGATAATATAAATATTACGATTCAAGACCAAAAAGTTACTCAAAACAAGTAATTTTGTTATTTAGGGTCAATTTTACAAAAATATGGAGAGATAGATGGTGATATAATAAGTAGGATTGGAGCAGGATGGACAAAATAAGCCAAGCTACTTGTATCATTTGTCACAAACGGATATTAAATAAATTAAAATGAAAATTCTATAAGACAATTATTAGGCCAACTATATTGTATAGAGCAGACTATTGGGTGTTGAAAAAGAAACAAGAACAACATACCCATGTAGCGGAAATGAGGATGCTAGATTTAGGGGGGAAAAATGAGGATGCTAGGATGGATGATATGAGTAACTAGAAGAGATAAGATTAGTAATGAATGAGCAAGGGAAAAACTAGGAAATAACACCTATTAATGACAAAATTAGAGAAAGTAGACTTAAGTGGTATGGTCATATTCAACGCATATCCAAAAATGGTTAAGAGAGGGAAAAGTTGTTTGCCAAAAAGGTAAGAGACAAAGAGGCCGACCAAAACTTAAATGAGATTAAGCAATTAAAAATGATTGCTTGTGGATTAGGGACACGTTCCCCTTTAGAACGCTTTTCTAATATATTTTACTTATCAAAAAAAAAAAAAAAAAATGATTTTAAAAACATAAATATTAGAGGAGACATGGTATATAGTAGGAACGAACGAAAAAAAAAAAACACAGAATTTATGTAGCTGACTCCATACATACATAACCAAGTCAAGGATGATGGTGATGATAATATTATCTTGTGCATATGGACAAAATATTAGCAATTAATTCAACACTTAATAAGTTTTGCTTAAACAAGGAACTCCAAATTATCACAAACTTCATGAAGATCTCCACTGTAATCTGTTCAAAATTTTGTCACGCTAGACTAAAATACTTTCCAAAATGAATTTTTTGTTTTTATTTTTATATTTTTTTAAACAAGATACCAAAATGAAAAAAATTAAACCATAAATACATAAATTTTCACAATAATCTTCTTTTTTTATCCCTATCCTCATCAAGATAGATAATGGGAAGCAAAAGAAATATTAATATAGTTAAATGATGAGCACAACACCTTGCATTCAACTGGTTAGTCTGGTTGCAGGAAGGTAGACCCTAATGGTATCTTTCATGGTGACTTTTCTCCTACAGGTAGGGCATTTACTCTGAGTAGCTACTGCAGTTTTAATGCACGCCTTACAGAAAATATGACCACACTTCGTTGACATCTCCTCAACTAATGGGCCCATGCAAACTGGACAGCTGAAGGTGGGCTCCTTCGGTGGTGATGGTGGCGGTGGCGGCACCATTGTCTGTACATTCTCTCTCTGGCATTTGAATATAAACAATAAATCTTACTAATCAAGACAAATAACAAGTAAAACATCCATGCATATAAAGGAGGTAAGTCCTATCAACACATTCCAGCTTTGACAACCAACCATTCATAAATTCCTTTATCTTTAATATTTATGTCGATGGATTGTGGACCTTGACTCAAATTAACAACATTTATTCAAAAAGGAAAAGTTCAGGGTAGCTAGAAAATCTTATATTATATGATGCAAAGAGGAAAACCCCAAATTCTCATTAAATAACGCTAAAATCTGTTTGCACAACCTACACATAACAGCACAGCAATTGTCACAACTAATTGTTCCGTCATATGTGCTAAGGGTGGCTTGTTTCTAAATTGTTTTGTCTCGATATTATTAAAAAAGAAGCCCAAACCCTCCCACGTGAGGTTAATGAACTTCTTAAGTCCCATTTTACCCAACACAATCAGGTGTATATTTGGGTGTCAAATGGAATATATTCCAATGCATCTTAGGGAACAAGAAAATGTTTGAGACATCAAAGTGCCCAAATTTCTTCCTATATAGCCTGTGGTAAATAAGTGCAACACTCAGTGCTTCACTAGTAATGAAATGTCCATGCAACAATGAAGCAATGGTAAGGAAGAACCTAGGGGAACTTATAGTACATTAAAATATATTCCCATCCTCAACTAAACAACCTTGTTCGGTACTAGGTAAGCCGAAGACATCCAATATCCATAAACATGTCGAGCCATACTTCACTAGCAAAGTAACACTTAATACACTCTAAAGGTATACAATGAACATGCTTCAACTTGATTCAAGAATTGCCTACATTGTAAGCATCAGTAGATAAAATCTGGGAAGCCAGTTGTAAACCAAAGCAGCAAAAATAGGATTACCAATTGTTAACAATTTCAAAAAATTACCAGACCAATCTAGCACATAAACTCAATGGGAAAAAACGAACATCTACAAAGCATAAAAAACAATTCGTTGTTACCATAGCAATCATGCAAAGCGTAAAGAAATACAAAAATTTTTATTATTACCTTAGAATTGTTACTTCCTTCCAAGTTTACATAAAGTTCGCAATTTATAATTGTTTGGTTTGAAGAAACTCTTCTGCGCAAGTTGCGACCACTAGGAGTCAGTTCTCCTGCAATGATTATGAATCAAATTAGCATTGAATATAAATACATATAATATATATATATATTGAGGGGGGGGGGGGGGGGGGGGGGAAGAAAAAAGACAGACATGAGTTGTGCCAAAATAAAGATAGTTGTAAAATAGAAACATCTTAAATGGATAAAAATGACCAGCATCCAACTTCCTTGCAGAGGCAAAACACAAATAACAGGAAGGTTAAAAGTTTATGAACAAGCTCTACCTCAGTATCTAAAGTGTTCAACTCACGAACGCCTCAACCAGCTATCCAATCAGTCAGGATCACATAAAACCCTTATACTCACATTTTTAGCATGTACCACGGTTAAAAGAAAGAAAGAAAAAATGTGTACCCCTTATTTTAATATCTCTTCCTTTTTTATTGACCATGAATACATATTCTACATCATATAATGGTCGGATTCAATCGATCATATTATTTAATCTTACCATATATTCGACGAAATCATAAGCTCATAGTTGACCAATTTCATTAAATGCATCTAATTCTTGATTATGAATTTACAACAATGTAATATATAGTTAAATTTCACATGCTTATTGCTTTTTATTGTGGCCATTTTTAATGGTATTTCATTTAGTTAATGCCAATGTATATTGAAAGGATTTATATGCATTGATTTACTTGATCTTTTCAAGTTTATATGTCAAATTTCCATTTTTAAAGAACTCTTGATTAGTTGTGTTGCATATCTTGAATTATTCAGAAATTCAAATAGATATCAATCTAAATGAAAGTATGTGCAAATTGAAAGATATATGTATATTAATTTAGCTAATCGATTGAATCATTATGCTGAAATTTTCCTTTATTTTGATAGTGATTTTTTTTGAATTTTGTCCTAAAATAATATTTAATATTCATTTTTATCACACATGCGACCTACTTCAGTCAAAACTGCGCCTTATGTTGCATTGCGTCTTGCGCTTATGCTCTCGGAGATCATGGCACGGTTGGCAGCTTAGTGCACCTCAAGTCTTCAATAACTATGTTTGCATTTAAAGCATAAAAGAAATAAGGCGTTAACAAGCGAGAAAGCTTTATATAGACGGAAAAGATGGACAAGATATTGCTCATACTCCCCATGCGTCATCAGTTCATCCTCAAAGATCATATAACATTCAAAATCAATGTAAAATGTGGATGCATTTTCCATTCAACTGAGGATCTCTCCTAGTGAGTTTTTTTTTTCTTCAAGTATTTAACCAAGCAAGTGCCTCTTTATTAAATGACCACCCCACCTTAAAAAATAATATTAATAATAATAAATCATTAAAAAAATCATCTAATTGAGGGTATAAGAAAATTAGGCATGCAGCTCAAAATTAAAATGAGTTTTGAAATTTTATCTATTGGATATCTGAGTGAATAATCTTCATCCGAACATAAAAATCTATGTAAGGTGACTGTTGAGAATGCTTTTAACGTCACAGGGAAAAAAAGGATTACCATATGACACCAGGGTCTAACAGAAAGGATGTTATCAACCCATAAGTATCATAAGTTAAAAAAGAAAACCTGTGCAATCAAAGGGAAGAATGACGATATTCTTCAAATCTTCAAAGAGGAGTAGTTATGACATCTGTAGACCATCCCTGCAGGGGTGGTGAAGGAATGACTTAATTGGTAGGAAAAAACCACAACCATTTGGGGTTACCCTGCACTTAGAAGAGAGGTAGAAAAAGGAATACACAAGGTGATAATTTGATTCTTCATCATGGTAGTATATAGGAGAGAATATTGTAGTTCTTTCTTAGTTTTTACAAACTTGAAAACAGAATAAAATACAATAAATAAGTAAAGTATTTTACAGAACAAATCCGCAAAGAGAAGTGAAAAGATACACAGCCACAAACAGAACAGAAAACTTGAATTACCTGAATCTACATCAACTACAACAGTCCTTCCACGATTCCTTGTGGAATTGTTTTTAGCCTGAAAAGAGATTGAAAATAATCAGTAGAATAAACAGAACAATAAGTAAAACTCTAAAGATTTGTCTGATTCAAACTTAATACATTTGGGGGTGGGAAAGAAGCATACTTCTTCAAAAGACCTGGGTGAAGAAATAAGAACATCATCGTCGAAAGCCTCAACATCAATTGTTGCAGGTTGTACAGATCCTCCTTGTTGACCAGCTTGTACATCCTGAGAGCCGGCATGAGCTGAAGTACCATCCTGATCCTGGTTCTCACTTGGTAGCGCATTGAGATCAACTGCTAGAACAGTCCTCCTCCGTCGAGGGTTCCTCACATACCCTCTTAGAGGAGGTCCATTGGACCCCCTGGTGCTCATGCTATGATTATGTGTTTCCTGTTCAAGTATCACACCCTTAGGAACACAAATCATGCAAAACAGAACACCCTCCTAAGCCATGCATAAAAGGTTCCATTTTTAGTTTAATAAATTGCATGAATTTACATTAAAACCATTTAGCAATCCAAAACCATTGTTTTCCTCTAAATCCTCGACTTTCAAAGACACAAATGAATGAGATCCGTTAAGACAAAGTATCATCAGAATTTAATCTATGAGTATGTGTTTCCTGTTCAGCTATCACACCCTAAGCAACACAAATCATGCCAGACAGAACACCCTCCCAAGCCATGTATACGAGCTTCCATTTTTAGTTTAATAAATCACATGAAATTAATTAAAACCATTTAGCAATAAAACAACAGAGTTTTCCTTTACATCTTCGACTTTCAAACTTTAACCACACAAATGAATGAGATCCTCTAAGATAGTGCATCATCTGAATTTTTCATACAAAGAGTTGATTTTTACTAAAGATACTCGCTTTCAAAGTTAAACTTGCAAAGAAATAACAGACTATAAAAAAATCAGATTTTAGCATTTAATATCTAATCTTCCCTTAAAATTTTCTAATTCCAAATCCCTACTGTACAAAATACTAAGACATTTAACAACAACATTTAGCATACAAATCATTTTCCCCAAAACTTTGTAGCAGTTTTAACCTCAACCATAAAATAAATAAATAAATAAGTAGATTTTTTTATTAAACTTCCTCAACTTTGGCACCAATACCTATTAGGCAGTGGTGATACTTAACTTACAAATCATTAAATTTTAGCATTCCAGATTTAAAGATAATAATAAAATAAATAAATATCTTTGAACAGGATCATCAACCTAAAATCTTTAAAACTGACATTAAATGAATCAATCATTAGTATGCAACATAAAAATCAATTTTAATCAAACGCTTTTGATATTTCCACCCGTAATATTGCAATACAATAGAATGAAATTTGAAAGTTCTAAGATTTTAGGATTAAAATATTGAACTTCAGTACAATTTTTTCGATCGTTTACCCTAATTTTGCCCAAATCATCAGATTCTAGAACACCGAGAAGATGTTTGACACACTTCACTGCTTTCAACACCTACATTTCCGCAATCAAGAAATGAAATTTAACGATCACCAAATTTGCAAACAAAACACACAAACACATATATAATATCAAATTTTATCGATTTTTCCTACGACGATGAGATGAAACCAAAATTCGTGAGATCAAACATATATCTCAGATAATGAAGATGAAATTCAGAAGGAATCGAAATGAAACCACAAACTCCAAAGACCAAATTAAACAATCAAAACAGGAAAGGAGATGTAGAAGGACAAATGTATAAGTATAACGAACACCTAGCCGATTAAAGTGAGCCAGAACTTCAAAAATTACAGTGAGATTATGTCGATGATCGAACCTGATTTACAGTGTTTTGAGACCAAAACGATATGGTTCTGAACCTTCGTATTAATAGCAACAAAGTCTAGAGAGAGAAAGAGAAAAAAGCTTCCAATGTTTTCGTATCAATGGCTTCCAAACAGTAAAGTTTATAGAGAGAGACTGTGACAGACGTTACACGAGTTCGCTGTAAGAGCCGATGAGGCCAAAGCGAGGACTTCTCTAAACTCTGAACTCCGTGTGATGTATTTCAAACGCGCCTACTTGTGCGCGTGCATGGGTTTTGATTTTTGATTTTTGATTTTTTTTTTTTTTTCACGTGCTTTGAGAGGGCCAACACAAAAGCTTAAGATATTATCAGGCGGGGCTAATACCTAACCTATTTATTCCCATTTCGCCTTCTATTCGGATCCGATTTGGAACAAGTCTACCCTTCTAACATTCTCTCACAACCGACTATTTATTCCCATTTCACCTTCTATTCGGATCCGATTTGGAACAAGTCTACCCTTCTAACATTCTCTCACAACCGACTTGTATTGTTGTCATTCGAATCCGATTTGGGACAAGTCTACCCTTGTAACATTCTTTCCTAACCGAACTTGTATCGTTGTGATCGAGTCACCCTGCCTACCCTAGGTGGCGCGCCCAGATACATTCGAGCTAGGCGTTTGGTGTAGCACCGGATCAAGAATTATGTCTGACTCTTATACCAATTGTAATAGGTGGGTACTTCCCAATTTGATTCAAAAGCTTAATCTATTAGGTATGGCTAACACATAATCCATTTATACCCATTTCAATTCTCATCCAGATTCAATGTGGGACAAGTATCACCTTGTAAAACCTAGCCACTAAAGTAGCTAGCTCAACCAGTTGGTATGGTGTTAGTTGAACTAGCTACTTATAGAGGAGGGAAGATAGATAAAGTGAAGAGAGAGGATGAAGTTGGGCCCATTGGCTAGCTATTACACTCGCTACCTGTAACGAGTGATTTGTTGGCCAGAGCATAAGGCACAACATGTGGCGATACGAAAGGTCTCGGCCAATCGGGTCCACGACTAACCACATATTTATTATGCCAGATGCTCTTAGAAGCAATTAAAGAAAAGAATTTCTTAATAGTACCTTGTAAAGGTAAATATAGAGAATGGGAATTATGAGTGTACATAATATTGTTTGGATAAGATCAATCTTAGAATAAATTGAAACCAATCTAATCTAGCAGTTTCAAAATATATATTGTTTTAGTTTAGCGGCTTTGAGGAAATATAATATTTGAGACTCGAAAAATAACAATGGAGGAAGTAAACACTAATGATGTGTTTGGTATGCAGAAATGGAATGGAATGCAAGTGAGAATGGAATAAAAATGGGAATGGAATGAGAATGGGAATGACCATTCTCATTCTATTGTTTGGTTGTAAATATGAAATGTGTAGGAATAGAATGATAATAACCATTCTAGTGTTTGGTTTGACCAATTTAAAATTTAGAATAGAATAAATTTTAAGTTGAATTCTTCAAAATATCCCCCTTGATAACAAATAAATTAAATTAATAAAATGACATGCACTAACAACTTTTTAAAAATAAATGGTGGCAGTGGCGGTGGTGGATGGTGGTGGAGGAAGAAAGCGGTAGTGGTGTAGGTGATGATGTTGGAAGGCAGCGGTGGTGGCAATGGTGGAAGACGGTTGCGGCAGTAGTGGTGGAAGGCAGCAGCGGTGTTAATGGATAGCAGTGGCAGCAGTATGGTAATGGTGGTGGAAGGAGATAGTGGTGTAGGTGGTGATGGTGGAAGCCAATGAAAGTGACTGTAGTGGTAGTGGAAGGCAGTGGAAGTGGCAGTGGTGGAAGGCGGTGACGATGATAATGGTGAAAGGTGGTGACAATGATAGTGGAAGGTAGTGGCTGTGGTGGAAGGCGGCGGCGGTAGTGGTGGTGGTGGAAGGTGATGGCGGCGGTGGTGGTGAAAGTTGGTGATGAAAGGCGGTGGTAGCGGCAACAGCGGTGGTGGCGGCAACGGCGGTAGCGATGGTGGTAGTGGTGGTGAAAGGCGGTGGTGGGGGTGGAAGGTAATGGTGGTGGAAAGCGGTAGCGGTGATACTGGAAAGTGGTAGCGGTGGTACTGGAAAGTGGTGGCGGTGGTGAAAGGCAATAACGGTGATAGTGATGAAAGGTGGTAGCAGTAACGGTAGTGAAAGGAAGCGGTGGTTCGTGGTGGTGGTGGTGGAAAGCGGTGGACGATAGTGAAAGTCGATGGCGGTGGTGGTGGTGAAAGGCGGAGGTGGTTTTGGGAAGTTGATTTTTTAAAAAATATATATATATACTTGGGAATGGAATGGCAATTCCATAGGTTTAGTTGTGGAATGGATTTTCATTCCAATAGAATGGTCATTCCTACTTAAAATTGCATACCAAACAAAAGGAATGGTTGGAATGGGCATTCCATTCCTGCACACTAAATGTAGCATAAGAGAAAATGGTAGGAGAACTAATATTAAGCCGGGAGTATCACGAGAAAATTGGTAGAATAAATACTAAATTTTATGACAGGGTTAACAGTAAGGATGCATTATAGCTCGGCCCCACAAGCAATTTTAGAAACCCAAGCCTGAGCCCGTCGAGATCAAATTATTTAATGAGCCAGACCAGACTTAGAGGAATTTTAAGAAACCCAAGCCTGGCCTTAGGCTTTAGATAACAAGTTACGGGCTTGTAATGAGTCGTGAAGCGATTTTGGAATGAGATAAAGTGCGAACTTGGAAGGTTTATCACATTAATACCTAAATTACAATAAAGGCCTTTAACATGAAGTTCCTTAAAGAGATTTAAAGGGAATAATATGTTATATCCAATCATTAAAATATAAATTTTTTTTTCTTGGTTAATTAAAAAATAAATTTTGAATAGTTTGAAATTTTTAGTCAAAATAATTTAAGTCTTGATGTGAAATGGAATGCGGCTTCTATGGTAACCAACTCTGTAACGACCCAAATTCGATGGATCCGAATCGCTAACTAGGTCCTTACCCGAACCAAGGATATGCAAGGATACTATAGTCATTTCACCTTAATTTAACACTCTAGGACCTAATGAGGGCAAAATGGTCATTTAACTCAATTATAATGGCTTAAGACCCAAAAAGGGTAAAACTGTCATTTACCAAAGACATCCAATGATTAGGATTAAGTTCGGGAGTAATATAGTTGAACATGTGGTTAAAACACAATAATTGTAGTTTTATTGGGTCACATGGTAAATACTAATAAAAGGGTGATAAAGGGTAAAAAGGGAAAAAAATCACAAATGTATATAGTAGGAACCGATCAATGTGTGGGAAGCTACACGTCGATAGAAACTCCCCAAACCATGCTTTTGGCTCCCCTGAACGAGAGACTTCCAAAGGGGTCACCCATCTTGTTACTACTCCAGGTTAAACACGCTTATCTCCGGAGTTCTAGTAGGTTCACAACCAGCACGGCTTTAAAACGCGTTGTGTCATAGAAGGGTGTTAAATCTACATATAGCACTTGCATGTTCCACACCCAGACAATGTGGGATTGTGCACCTGTAGCTCGCCCAGCGTGGTAACCTACTGGTGCCACCTGTACACGTTCACAAACACCCGCCCACAAGGTCACCACAATTAGTAGGCTACCATACTGGGCGAATTACAAATGCACAATCCCACATCTCCTAGGTGTGGATGGAGCAATTGCTATATTTAGATTCAACACCATTCTATGACACAACGCGTTTTAAAGCCGTGATGGCCATGAACCTATCAGTACTCTGGAGTTAAGCGTGCTTAACATTGAGTAGTACCAGAATGGGTACCGGTTCTTGCTATATACATTTGTGATTTATTTTTCCATTTTTACCCTTTATCACCCATTTATTATTCCTAGTATATACCACGTGACCTAGTAAAAATGCAATTATTGTGTTTTAACCACATGTTCGACTGTATTACCCCCTAACTTCATCCTAATCATTGGATATCCTTGGTAAATGACTGTTTTACCCTTTTTGGGTCTTAAGTCATTATAATTTAGTTAAATAACCATTTTGCCCTCATTGGGTCCTAAAGTGTTAAATTAAGGTGAAATGACTATAGTACCCTTGCATGTCCTTGAGTTCGGGTAAAGACCCGATTAGCGATTTAGATTCAGCGAATTTGGGTCATCAAGCTATTTTCATAAAGTGAGTAGGGCAGGTGCACCCATTGAATTTTTGGGTGCTTTTTAAAAATATGTGTGTGTGATTTTTAAAAATTTCAAAAATGCCCCACTAAAAATTTATTAAAAAAAAAAAACTTAATGTTGTGCTTGGTTGGAAGGATGGATGAGCAAGGAATAAAATAGTTTTTCAGTATTTGATTGGATGGAAGAAAAAAGAGGAGGAAGCAAGGAGGGATAAAGGGATAAAGCATCCCTCCTTACTTTGTATTTTTGTATCCGTCCAAAATTGTGGGGAAGAGGAGAGAGAAAAAAAAAAAAAAAGAATAATTAGTAATTTTCATTTTTAACCTTCTCACAAATTTGGAATGGATATCTAATTTTTATAATTTTATATAATGAGGGTGTATTGATATAAAAAATATAAAACCCTCTTTCCCATCCTTCCAACCAAAGGGAGTTTCAACCCTTTGCCTTTTTTTTTTTTTTTTCTTAGTTATGTCTCTCATAAACTGCCTCTTCACACTTCATTACTGTCCCACCACAACTCACATCTCCTTCGATTTGGCCGTCAAAATCTCACTTTTATCCACTCAATCTTTCTCCCAGAGATATATGAGAAAAAAGAATTATTGAAAGAAAAAAAAAAAAAAACTTTTAAACGTTAAAAATTTGAACGCATTAAAGCTTTTGAATGAAACTAAAATTAATTTTTCACCAACGCATAATAAAAGATTTTATATTTAAGTAATTGTTTTCCTTTTCTCTTTTCCTTAGAAAACTTTAAAAAGGCATGTTAATTCATATGTTATAATGATAAATAATACTACTTTTGTCCCATAATAATTGTCTACATTGATAAATGTGACTCACAAAAATATGAGTCACAATTTTTAATGTAGATAACTATTATGAAATGAAAAAATATAAGTCATAATTCTCAACCCGAATAACTATTTTAGAATAGGAGGAGTAAAGTAATAAAATAAAATTTAACACCTTTAACCAATGACAACAAATGTTACTTTTAAAATCATATCTGAAGTCTTTATTATTTAGACAGGAGAATCCATGTCATTGTTAGATATAGATTTAAAAATGGTAGTCATTAATTAAAAGTAGTTCAAATGGAATAGGTACTCAG